GAGATTTTTCCTTGTTTCAATTATGATATTTTACTTTAATTTTACGTTTTTTGTTTGGCAGCCATAGCTGCCAGTCATTTACCATTTTTTACGGGACGTTTTTACAGTGTAAAACCCTTATTTTACCGATTTTTTCTTGTTTCAATTACGATAATTTGCTTTAATTTTACGGTTTTTGTTTGGCAGCCATAGCTGCCAGTCATTTACCATTTTTTACGGGACTTTTTTACAGTGTAAAACCCTTATTTTACCGATTTTTTCTTGTTTCAATTACGATAATTTGCTTTAATTTTACGGTTTTTGTTTGGCAGCCGTAGCTACCAGTCATTTACCATTTTTTTACGGGACTTTTTTTTACAGTGTAACAGAAACCCTTTTAAAACAAAACATAATAGAACATTACACACTAACAGATCTCCCCCTATATTAATCTTGTGCAAAAATACATTAAATAACACTTAATTTCAACATTTACTCCTGGAGTCTGAAGCAAAGCATACTGGGAACTAGCTTGACATATTGGTACTCATAACAATCAATTTAGCTTAACTGGGGTTTTCTAGTCAACCAATTGTTGTACATTAAGTCAACTAAAAAGTGTTAGTTAGGACATTTGTTAGGTCTTACAGTGTACAATAAACAATTATTCTACAGAGTAATATAGTTTTAGAGAACAAGAGAAATTGTTTTACTGATTTTTTTTTTACTGATCTTACTGTGAACAATTAAGTTTAAATTACTATGTGAGTATATGGTTTTTGACCAATAATCAAACCGCTATTTACACATTCTTTTTAGTAAACATGCATTTGGTCTGGCTCTGTTCTTTCTTGTCAAATATCATGTTTCATTTAAAAATAAATCACATTTCAGAAGAACTAGTTGCACCAACCTTGGAAAAATGATAACTGTTTCCTAACAGGTTTCCCTAAAGGAAGCTATGTTAGCATTATCATCTCAATGGTACAGGCGGTGCATCTTCTTTATCAAAGAAAGACCTCAAAGATCCATTGTGACATCATGGTAAAACAACAAAAATGGCAGCAACCTCAAAAGGTTAAAGGTAATTGGGTATACTTATCTATTTGATATGCTATTGTATTCTGCATTTCTTAGGCATTGTTAAATGCAACAGCTTAAAGGTCAGTTGAGTGATTACTTATTTTGTTGTAAACAACACCAACAAAGTTGCACATGGATCCATGTTGGTGTTAGTTGCCATGGTAACAAATAATTTAGAGTCTAAGGACATAAACAGCCCTCAGCAGAATCTCTAAGTTCTCATTTTCCCGTAATTACGGTAATTCCAACAATGACGTGCACGCAACATAATTTTGGCTATTTACAGTGTCTCGTCCAATCAGAATATAGAGCCATTTTATGAATTTGAAGAATCAACCACTAATTCAGAGAAATAGAAACACACTGACGCTGTCATTTGAGTTTATTTTAAGCACACACTGGAAAAACTGTGCCTTTTCAAACGGACGTGTAATTTTATCTC